AAATCCCTTTCTTATCTCCTTATTGATGATGGGTCAGGGAACTTTTCTACCCTGGTCAATATGGTCGTTGGGTCTGGTGAGCTGTACCATTGAAGTCTGGGGGGAATCCAGATAGACTGGTCCCTGCCCCACATATTGGGAAGAGTAGCTATGTAAAGCCATTGATTGGATCACCTCAGCGTGTGCGTAGCACGATTGTTTATTTTGAAAATGACAATTACTGCTTCGCGCGTGGGTGACAGTTGAACTTATGGCTATCAAAAAAACTGACTTTTGCCATAACCAGTAGGCCAAATCGCCACAGTGTCTGCACAAAGGCAATTTTCAAGCATTTCAACTGCAAAGGTTTCAAATACTGAAAAGCAGTGCCCCTCCCTTTATTGATAGTTGCCAGAGACACTTTCAAATTCAGCGAAAATCAAAAGTCATGACCATGCAAACTGCCCATTAGTGGTAGCCTTGTTGCCATTTTGCAGTAGGTTGGTTCCGTGCTTCAGGGGAAGTTATCGTTGTGATTTTGTATTCGGGGGCCGGGAATCAGACCTGTTTGCATTATGGGTATATCTTCCTAGTCCTGCATATAATTTACACACATTAGGAGGAAAACCTAATGTATTCAGGATTCGTTGTCCGCTACCTGTCCCTACATTCGAAGTCCGAAGGACAACTGCGGGACCAGAAACCAATCTAGAATCCACACTGAATTGACCACAAGCAGGCAACCATGACGATTTTGTAACCACTCTTATTCAGGCACATGTAAGCTAATCTGTCAGTCCCAGTCAAGCTTTTGTCATGTACGTTTGTGAAACCACTTTCCCTGGGGACGCGGTCGTCGATTTTGACTGAAAGAAGTCTACCTTGTTGTCATTCAGTCCCAGAATTAAATGGGTTGCCCCAGACTGGCCAATTCAATTTTTTCTACCAACTGATTATTTTCAGTGGCCTTCAACAGGTAAACTGAATGTTTTTTTGCTTCCAAAGTTTATACAAAAGAGTTACGACCCAAGATGTAAACCATCTAACTTTTAAGCGTACATAATGTTATTGTTAAATCTGAAGAAGAGCTGAATTTGCAGTGAAAATTACATGTTCGTATTCACTGGATACTACAATTATCCAAAATTGGCCTTTCGCCAGTTGTCACAAAGTCGTTTTTTTATCTGCTGCGTTTTTATTCTGGTGTTTGCCACTTTTTAGACAGTGAAAGCCCGACTTTTATTTTGGCGCTGCTTAACACATTGGTCCCTGTACTGTCCCAAACTGTCCTTACTGTTACTCTCTGAGCCCCCCAAAGTTTACCGCCCAAGCACTGTATTATGGTTGTTATGGCCTTACCAGAGAATAAACTTACAATGTAAATAGTAATACAATGTAGTATGGTACTTATGGGTTAATAAGCCAGTTCCGTATTTCAACTGTGCATGGGCAGTTTGCCCACAAAGATATGGGTCATGTGGGATAATCAAACGTTCATCAAAGGCCCATGAGCGCGCATGGACCCGGGCGCATGACGCTCGCGTGTTCATTTACAAGCAGAAAGGGTGCCTGCGTAACATCGCGTATTATCACGTAAGGGATTTAATCCTGGATGACCTTTGACGTGGACTTCCTCATGGAGATACCTAACTGGCTTTAACCCCTAACTCCCTAGCATGATTTACTGGGAACCATACCCCATCCTGGCAAATTCCAACACCATATGGGAAACTGTGCACACGTATTTCTGACTTTGTTTCTGGAGGGTGTGCCAACCCAATGTAAAAGACTGTCAGTTTAGGGGTACTGTACCCATCCTGACAGATTCCAACAAAACATGCTGTTGGGGTTTGATGGGTTGAGTTCTGTTAGGGTTAATATTCATACATGTACAACAGGTGTTTTGTAGCCTTTGGGCAGTGGTGGTTAGAGAGAGAGGGGGGGGGGCATTCTGGTATTTTCATACTACTGCTGCTAACTCAGCAATTGTATTAAAGTTGGAATCAGATGACTGTGCTATTAGATGCGGATGTACATTTACGCATACACCTGTTCATTTTGTACATGTACAGTCACAGCAAGTATCCATCATTGCTCCCAAAACACCTGCTTTGGCTCTGAATTCTCTTCCATACGAAACAGCTGATTCACAGACACGTTGAAAAACAAGCAACAAAAAAAACAATACAGGAACAAACACCCTTTAACCCTTGAATACAGCTGGTGTTGTTTTTTTTGGAATAGTTGTCTTTTCCCAGGCTTTTGTGATCATTAGCGGATTCCATAGTGTACCAATATACTATGGCCTGTTTGGTAATCTTTGAACTATGGGCCATTTATCTTAAACTTGAAGAGCCAATTACCCGGGTTGTACATTGGTAGACTGTACTGCGGTAGATGGTAATGCATGATACGTACATGTACATAACTGTATGGATACCTACATGAACTGTATGTTTATTGCACATCAATTGTCCCCCTCTGCTCCCTGCCCCCTTCTGCCCAAGGTCTTGTGTTGGGGTTTGGTCATGTTTTTCAAGCCCCAGGGTGGGGATTTTGGTCACTCGCAGGCATTTTTGTTACCATTGGTGCACTAGATACAGTCCTTCTGATTTGAAAATCACAGGCGTGTGGAAAAAGGCACACCTGGATTTTTCTAGGTGTATATTTTTTCTAGGTGTGTGGTTTTCTAGGTGTGTGATCTGTGGTCCAGGGAAATTCAGGCGTGCAATTATTCACACTTCTCTGGAAGCTTTTAGGTGTGCGATGTTGTGGGGGTGTGATCGCACGCCTCAAATCAGAAGGACTGTAGATAGAAGGCAATCAGAATGCCCCACCCATGTATGTCGGAGAGTGTCACTTGAATTTTGTCCCAGAGGTAGGGATTTTGTCTCTTCAAAAGCGACAATCCCCATTTCTTGAGTGGGGCAGCCCGGGGGTGGGGGAGACAGGGGGGGGGGGGTTGAGACAATTGATGGGCGCGTTACATGAACCGGTACATCATCAATCAGAAAAAAGTAGTTTGTTGTTGTTCATAACACGTGTACTCTCATTCTGTTGAGCAAGGGAATCTTACCATTTATTCCCCCAAAACAGCAAAGAATCCATTGAGAACGACAAGCGTCTGTTAAGTTATGTAAAGAAAAACATTAGTACGTAGCCTATAGTGGCTCTGATAAAGAAATGAACAGGAAAGCTTGCGAAGAAGCAAACAAAACACAACAGTACGACTGCCGCCTGCCACTGATAGTATAGGCCTGCCCTCATCGGTGCTTCATTGACTAGGATCCCAGCCAATCTAGATGGTTGCTGTGCGATAAGAACGAGCCCTACAGATAAACCCCATGTCTCAGTCACAGACTACAAAAACCTAATGATTGCCAAGTGATAAGATTAGTAGTGCGCTTGTATGGTATGTCCACACTCGCTCAGCACAGTTCGTGTGGTATTTCAAACTTGGTCACTATCTTCACTGCGTCATTAATCAAATGATTCTCCGTAGAATCATGCGATAATCCCTACAGGATAATCCTACAGTAATCCTTTTTATCCCCCTGTGCCCAGCTTTGAAAAATAAAAGTGAATTTCACAAGGCCATTCATTGCGTTGGATGAGCCAGTTGGTGATCGCATTGGATACGGATGAGTATCCAATGAAAAAAGGTGCTATGCCTGAGCTCATTGGTGTTTCTTGGAAGTGGAAACTTGTAGGATGAAACTAATGCAGCTCTTATTTGGAGATTAAATGTACCTTCCGAAACAGATTTAAAAAAAAATCTAATCTCATTACCATCTTGATTGTTGAGGAAAAGGAAGTTACAACAAACTTTTTTTTTTTCAAGAGACCGACTAGGTGCATCATAATTATTTTAAAGTTGAACAAAGAAATTGACTGGAGCGGGGTTTGAACCTACAACCTCCAGATTGCCGTTCCGGTGCTCTACCAACTGAGCTGCATGTATCCAGCCCTACATATACATGTACATGTATGTTCATTGTTAGGCTTCCCCATTTTGTCAATGTCTTTATTCAACGTAGGCATGGATAGTTCAGTTGGTAGAGCGCCGGAATGGCAGTCCAGAGGTGGCAGGTTCCAACCCTGCTGCAATCAATTTCTTTGCTGGACTTTAACATTACAATGGATATTTCATAGCATTGCCTCAGTCTACAGATGCAGTTTACTTGTGCATACATTGTATGAATCTCTCACACTCAGTTTTATGCAATGGAAAATAGTTAGATATGACCATTGTGCAGCCTTTGCTGTGTTATTGTGAGCAGAATTCTGCAGGTTCTTCTTCCTGGAGATGATAGCATGTGCGCACTTATTAAATATCACCACCCTTGAACACCAGGAAACAATCATTCAGTGGTCGTCTTCAGGGAATACGTGTACATTGTACTGTATGATATTTGACAGGCAAAGCTTGACAGGTGTACATCAAGTCAGGGTTGGGAAAATGGTTTGATCAATAGCGCCCTCAACGGGACTCACTTCATGGATTTGATGTGTGTATACGTAGTGGGGTTGATTTTTTCCCCCCTACTTTAGCAGTGTGGAACAAATATGATATCAGATCTGCGGTACAGTGGTTGCTATACCAACAACTGACGTCTAAACATAATAAAGCAGAAATCATATCTCCCCCCCCCCCCCAACTCCTCAGACACACAAACATTCTGTTTGTCTAGTGGGTCTTCTTGAAATCAATTTCGCACAAGTTTTTTTCTTCACTTTTTTCCTGTGTTTCAAATGCATAATGTTGTTAATTTCAGCAGGTTTTTTATCAGTATTGGCCAGCGATGAATTCATCAAAGAATTTCTTCCAACTACGACATTGCTTAACTTTGATAAACCGATACATATAACTTTGTCTTCCATTGAGTCTGTTGTCTGGGATGTTGTGCTGTAGGCTTGATGTAAAGTAACATGGTCTTCCGTTCATCATTTTTGTCAAATTTTCAAAACGACACCAATTTTTAAAGACCTTTTTGTTTGATCTTTTTGTACCTGTTTTACAGAGCGGGCCTCACCCAGCAAGCCTTATTGCCCTACAGCAGATAGCTGACCTGGTTCTCCCCCAGTCAAGATTCAACCAGACCTCCGTAGGCGGGGGACGTGGTGGCGGTGCCGCACAGGGTAAGATGTAGTCCAAAACCATCTCCCCCCACCCCACCCCTTCCCCCCTCCCCCACCCCACCCCTTCCCCCTACCCTCACCCGAGTTGTAATCGAGTCAGTCACAAGTCATCACAAGTCATCACAAGTCAATCACAAGTCATCCACTACGTACCGGTAGTCAACTCACAAGCTATTGAAATTTACTGTGACAAAGGCATTGTGTTAATGCTCATCTTGTGAATTGACTTGCGATTAACTTGTGATTGACTCAATTGTGATCGACTCAATTACAGCTCTGTCTCCCCCCCCCCCCCCCCCAAAAAAATTCTTTTTTTAAATTTCAAATTAAAAAAAAAAAATTAAAATGAAGGGTAAAAGTGGGGTGACACATTCAGTAGGCTTGTCCCTATGTGGGCAATTTCATATGACTCCCAGGTTTTGATCATTACTGTGCAATTTTGCGTCAAAGGATAAAAGAACTCTTTTGGAAGAGTGTGCACTCAGTTAGTCTGATCATCACTCTTGGGCAACATGAACGACTTTGCACTGTGGAACTTGAAAAAGTGTTTGTGGTTGCAAGAGGTCCACAGGTGCCCAGAACTTGATATAAAGCTTCATGGTACAGAATATGAAGAAAACATATGCATGAAGGAGATTTAAATTTTATAGTTTTTCATATTTTCATTTTTTCAATCTTTCATTTTTTCATTTTTTTCATTTTTTCTTTTTTCTCCCTTTGCCGACATATTATTTTATAAACGTTGTATACTCAGTGTAGGCTAAGGGCTTGCAAGAAAAAACAATCCTACGCTTTCTCGCATGTAATTCTTTTTTTTTTTTTACTACGTCCACTACAGGAGCGAGCTTAATACCGGTTGCTGACATTCGCGGGGTGGACTCGGTCAACTACAGCAAAGGGGAGAAGATTCTGAGGTGCAAACTAGCCGCCCTGTATCGCCTGATTGATCTGCACGGATGGACACAACTCATCTACAACCATGTCTCGGTAAGATGCAGGAAGAGACGGTCAAGTCTCTGGTCATTTTTGCCCCCTACCTTTCCCCCTCCTACCCAACCCCCACACCAACCCACTCCACCACAACCCCTCGCCAATCCACCACAACCCCTCCCCAATCCACCACAACCCCCCTCCCCAATCCAACCCCCTCCCCGTCCCCTGTCCCCGTCCCACGGTGGAAGCTCCATCTCCCCTGCCAATCCAACAAATCTGCCTTGTTTACATCGCCTGGATTACCACGTACAAGCTTTTAAACATCTCCCGCACTCCTCAGGAAGCCTCTCAAGTGCTTCTCCATTATGGCTAATCCTTTCAAGCCCTCTTGGCTCCCTTACCAGTGCTTGCATTTCATCTGAAACATTCTGGAGGACTCCAATAGAAAAGTCGGGCAGTTCACAAGAGTGTATGTTTGGGAAGGGTAGTGGTAGAATGGGGCCAAACTTTGAAACAACAGATCTGAAACTGACACAACTTTCAATCTTTTCAATCCTTAAACATCTTCAACAATAAAGTTCAAACAAATATCCATCCTTAATCTATGATAATGGGTGCAAACATGATGCTAAAAGTAACCTTTGAACATACCTCTGGCAGACTAAAAATGATGGAAACAGTAAGCGAATGTTCAGACCTGACAACTGAAACAATACACTTATAATAGAGTGCACTGCCAACAGCGCCCTCTAGCTCTGTTCTGATCCTGGCAAGAGTCGTAACATTTTATCCTTATTCAAGAAAAATTTTCTGAAAATGAGAATACTTTTTTTTATTGGACAATGCATCAACTTTCATCAACTTACTTTTTTGGCTACTTGTAAAAATTATCTCAAAGTTTGATTCAGTAAAGAAAAATTACTTAAGTACCTATATTCAGCTGTTAAAATATCAAATACGACAAAAAAAACAGCACTGCACTACAAAATTCAGCTTTCAGCTTAAATGTGATGCAAGATAATGCATATTCTCCTGTCAATTTTTGGCACTATTTACTGATTAAAAAAAAAATAGGAGGCACTCTTGCTTTGACAGTTGCGCAAACTCTGTAAAGCCGCAAAGAAAACAACAGCGTCACTTTGGCCGCTCGTGGGCCACTTAGCGTGTGTCAATGATGAGATTGACCAGATACAAAATACGGGACCTGTGGTCGGGGATTACGAGAAGAGATAACTTCACACTAACTGAGCGGATATGTGCTGGTCAGGGAAGTTACATTTCACAGCACTGTTTGTCCACGGCAGTCATACAACAAGCAATTTTTTCAATGTAAAGACATAGGAAGACCCGAAGTGTTGGCAGAAAAATAATATACATGTACTAATTTTAAAACCTGATTCACAGACATTTCTGAGATCGGTAAACATGTAATCGGCCATTAAATAAATTGCACTATGGACCCAGAGTGTTTTGGTGGCAGTGCCGGGGAACGATCCATCGTGAACACCCAGACTGGAGGGCCCTTATCGCGTAAAAGCTAACCGCGTCGGGTCAAAGGTCAGACGATTAATCAGGCCACTTGAGGTCACAGTGCTGCGGGATGCCATCGTGCGCACGAGTGCAGCGCTGCTGGCCTGTTTCACTCTCTGCGGGAAAACCAGTATGGCGTTGTGTTTGCGGCGGGTCCGTCCTTGTCGAAAAGTTAATGTCTGACTCTGTGGCTCTTCAAACCCCCCCCCCCCAAAAAAAAAAATTAACCGGAACTAATCAACAACTGATAAAAAGGTGTCTGCATTGCACCACCCCTGTTGACCATTCCGTTCTGGAGGCAGACGTCCGAGGGGCTCACGTTTGATTAATTGAATCGATTGTTAATATGCTGGCCATAAATATCTTCTATGTTGTACTTGACTCCATTTGCCACTTGGGGTGTTCAAAAATTGATACAAAAAAGCAACCAAAATTTGAGAATTTGGTGTTTCCCTAACTCGCTTACAAAGTAGAATTGCCCAAGTTAATATATTTTACATAATTTTTTTTTTGTTGAAAATTTGGAAACAGGTCTCCCCCCCCCCCCCTAAGAAAAATTATTGAATTCTTTGTCACCCAAATACAGAATACTTTATGCTAAATATGTTTCGCTGATTATTGGGACTTGCCAGGGCTCTCGAAAATCCAAATTTTACAAGAATTGAAGTTCCACAGAATAGAGGCAGTTTGCTAAATTGGTATTGTTTATGGGGCTTACACACTCCGGCCATAACTGGCAGCCATTGATGCTAACCAGTGTTCCGGCTCGGTAAAGACAACGGATGATCTATTTTCAGAAATGACTCATTTTTGCAATGAAGAAGAGAAAAACTTATACAAAAAATTGGTCGTCTACTTTATATTGTTAGCCAAACCATAGAAAATACGTGTGTACATGTACATGTACATGTTCATCAATATGTAAAAAGCATTCAAACAAATTTTCAAAAAAAGCCACAGTAATATTAAGATACTACCGGTACTTGGTTAAAAAAATAATGGAAATAAAAGAGAGTGTTAACAGCATGAAATTATCATTGAATTAATGAAAGACATTTTTTTTAATTTAGAGAGTTGTTTAGTTTAGGAGTACCGGTACAATAGATCTGGCCCAAATAATAATTTTGCTATGGAAAATAAATAATTGCTGAATAACCTATTTTAACACTAAGCCAGCATGAAATGAAATTCATTATCTTGATCATAAATTTTCGGCGGCCATCTGTCCTTGCAAAGGTAGACAATATGTACGGTTAGTGTGCTTCTGATGATCATAAAAACACTCTCGTTGTCTGGATTTCTCATTGTAAATAATTAGAGCACTCGTCAGCAACAGTCCTTGTACATCAAGCATATGTGAACATTATCAGGCATACATGCATATTAATGGGTCGTTCTATAAATTTGGATCCATTTTTATCCTATCCCTGTTACACCTGACATGTATGAGTTACTATTTTCTGCATGCTCTCTCTAATTCTTTTTCCAAGAGTGAATAAATCAAGCAAACTTCTTACCCAATAAATAATAAAAAATAGTTTGAAGTCATTTGTAATAATACTAAAATAGCGAATTACAAAGTTCAGAGGTAACAGCTACTGAAAACTATCACGCTTTGGACCCTTAAAATTTAAAGAATAACCCATGTGCATTCCAGTGGCGCCTTCTTTTTGCCCTTGTTCATACATTCAACATTAATTCTACACTATAAAAAGCAGTTGGTATTGATGTCCTTACCATATGTTGCTAATTTAGCAAACCAGGTAGTAGTTAGTGTTGCAATACATCTGTGACACAATACACTACCTGTCACTTTTAGGAAATAGGGCATTCTGTCACAGAAAGCTACGAAAACATTGTAAAAAAAAGAAATCGCTTCCTCTTGCAAGTATGGGATTCAGCAGACAAAGCATAAATTTTGTTCCACTTTTATTTTAGGAAAATCAAGATATTTAAACAAACTTAAAAATAACACAAAGACTTGAATTAGTACAAAAGATAGGTGATGGAATTGTGCCTTTGATGATACAAGCATGACATTTGGCACACAGTCAGAGTATGTCATGAAAAAGATATTTGGCCATAGGGCCATCGTAGATTTGTCCTTTGAAAAAATATAGGTAGAATAACAAGCAATGGCAGCCATTTTAAAAAAAATTGAAAATTGTTATTCTACCTACATTTTTTTCAAAGGACAAATCTGCGATGGCCCTATACATGTACTATAGGCTATAGCCTCATTACATACATTTGTACTCTGACTACATGTACTATAGGCTATAGCCTCATTACTTACATTTGTACTCTGACTGTATGCCACTTTCCATGCTTGTATCATCAAAGGCACAATTCCCCCAAATATTTCCCCTCTCTACCCCACTAAATAGCCATTCAAGTACAAAAAAAAATTAAAGAATAATTCTGTTTTTACTTTATGTTGAAAATTTTCAGCAAATTATGCCAATGGTTGCAGATTTGGGGTAGGGGTATGAATCTAACCCTCGTTCTCCACAAAGCAAGTGGTGTCCCATCTAAACAAATATTTAATTTAGCATTCAACATGTTAATTAATACAACATTTGTATATTTGCGTGCCTCATAAACTGCTCACGGAAAAGGAGTTGAGTTACACAAGTGTCTGTCTACCCCCAGTGTCACGTACGGTAGAAATTATCATAGACGGCAGTCAACCGTGTTTTGAAAGCGTGTAACGTTTCATTGCACCTGGGAAATAAATATATTTGCAGTACTGAAGACACGCACATGTATCGATGTGGCCCCACCCACGCCAAGTTGCCGATGACAGTGATCGTTTCTTTTTTCGGAAATGTTCCCTCAGCTGTATGAGCCGTTAATTGCCTTTCCGTGTGTTTCTGCGAGTGCCTGGGAAGGAGGTTGTCAGGGTGAGCCCGGGCCTTCCCTCAGACCGCCGACGTCATCTACGTGTTGCTTTGTTTATCCGTCGGTTGCGCCGGGCATCTGTTTGAACAGTACTCGGCCGGGCGTATTAATGTGCACGCACACAACATGAATTCAGACATTGATCATGTATTTCTCATGTGGTTTAGTAATGCCCCGGCCCACTGAAGAACACGATGGGCATAAATTGAAAAATACTATTTAAATAATATCCAAGCTGTGCGCACAAATTACACACATAACATGAATATTGTGCAGTGCTGCTTTGCGCACTAAGAAAAATCTACCACAATGTAACAAAATGTTGCTTTCATCAATAATTGATTGCAACATTGTACATTTAGGTAAAGTTCAATTAACACACTGAATGAACACAATATTCAAATCTACCCAGACATGTACATTGTACATGTACACGTAATAAGTTCAAGGAATTTTTTTCCCTATTATATTCATTGGCAATTTCATGATTTAAAAAATGAATACAAATTAAAAAACCATGTTCAGTCTCATCCAGTCTCATCCAGTTAATATTTCAGAAAACTCATGAAAATATGTTATGTATTATAAGCTGAAATGGACGCCAATGTTTTGTCAAGTACCCTCAGGGTTACATAAATGCACTAACCTAGTTCATTTTTTGTACTATCGGTTCTCATGTACCCGCACAATGATACCGCACGGACGTACAATGTTCAGGGATATGTTGTTTATTTCCCCGGCATTATGAGCACTGCACGCATGCATCGGTGCATGCATTCAACCCTCGATTTGTATGCAGCAGGTGCAGGCTGCAGAAATTGGATTTCCCAGCATGCTTCATGGCCGACGCTCTCGCGAGATCCGTCGTGTCTGTCTGTCGTGTGCGGGTCACACCCCTAGTGATGCAGACAGAGTAGCCAGTAGACTCACAGACACACACGCTCATGACAATCACACATACATCTGTTGAAAATGGATCAACATTCATGTTCGTGTACATGTAGGCATACATTGTACCGTACGTGAACACATAATTTACCAGTTGCTATTCAAGACACATTAGGCACTGTGTTCTGATGTACATTTACATAGATGCTAAATTAGCCAAATGAAAAGGCAGGTTTTTATGTAGCAAGTTTTCAATTTCAGTGTTTTAGTTCAATGAAGAAAGCTACTTTTTTCTATTTTGGGAATTTTTTTTTTCCAAATTTATGTATGGGTTGCTTTTGCATACCTACATGTACCTGTAAGTCGTTCAGAAAAAAAAAATTAAATTCAAAGAATTTTTTTAAAATCTACTTTTCAGGGTGTAAGCATGTGAGAGCAACTTCAATATAGACATGTATACATTTATTAATGTACATGTACATACATTTATTAATGTAAATATAATACCTATTTTGTAGAGGTCTATACACGTACATGTACATCTACATGTGCTATGCTTGAAATTCCAGTGTCTTGCAAATTCATATTGAGTTTAGGGCAGTTGGTTTTCCCCTAATACAAGTTAATGTAGTTAAAGGATAACAGACTAATGTAGGAAAATGTTATTGGTTAAAGGTAGAGTAGATCACTTGTCATTTGTGTATTTTTTTCGTTTGACGCCACAAAAGTGCTCAAAATCTAAAGGAGGGTGCTTAACAACTACGCTGATGAAGTTTTAGATGAAGTGAATGCTGTATTCCGAGAAAAGAATATTCTAGGATCTGGATTTCAATTCAAAACTTGCCGAGTCATGATTTGAATTGGGCCCGAATTCAGCATCCAGGATGTGTTCTCATTCAGCCGATTGCAGCTACGCAATGTCATGCACCGAACCGACGAATAATAGCAACCACGTGCGTCGCTTCATTGCTTGCCCGCACTTCGCCAAATTACAAACCAACTACTAACAGACATTTCCAAAAATGTGCCACTTGACATATCTTTGGAAATGGCCTTCTTTTATTGTTTTCATCAAAATGACAGCATGTCAGAAGAGAATAATTTCACAGGGAGTTTAGTGCCATTACCATCTTTAAAACCAAGAAAGCTTTTCGACAATAAATTGGTCAGTTACTTTTTTGGATAGCTACAATGATCTACTCTGCCTTTAATAGATGTCTTGCATCTCTGCAACTAAAAATTCATCTCAAGACGTCATGAGCGTGTACATGAATAGTGCAAGCAGGGGCTACCACATTTATATTCGGAGTGTGTTCCCAGATGTCCATGTCAATAAGTGTTGTGCCAGTACATTGATATGTTCAGTACACATGATGCACATATTTCAAACGAGGATCGCCAACATTCTTGATGAAACATCCACATATCATGTATCTCCACATTTCCCCCGATATTAAAGGTAATTTAGTAACATTTGCAAACATCAAAAAAACGAAACTACTAAATTATCACAAAAACCTTACTTGACTGTAAGTGAATAATAGTCTCAAGCATCCTGTGAAATCATGGCACCTGGTGTGCTGGAATTTTCAAGAAATGTGGAATTTTTGGTATCACTTTCCAACGATGGTCGGCCGACCATCGCTGGAAAAAAAAACTGACTTTTTTCAAATACTACCCCCAGTTTACCAATTGTAGTTAGTCCAAATTTTGTTTGCATTCGTTGACACATCTGGGAACAGGTGCAAGCAAACTAGTCTGGTTCCCTGAAATTACAGCAAAAGCAAATGTTGTTCGGTGTATTACCGTTAATATGTGTTTAGTCACAAGGCTATTCGTAGCTGTCCGGCCCGTGATAATGCGCACGCTGAACTTGTTACTGTCATTGTGTCTGAGCAAGGAATAAACGGATTTAATTGTAGCGACACTGTAAGGCTAAATGCTGGCAATCATAATGAGCTTGTAAGAATTTCTATAAATCCAAAATTTCCAAGTTAAAAAAAAACCAAAAAATTGTTGATGAAAGGCAAACAATACTAGGAACTGATTTACCATAAGGACTATTAAAATGTGAAATTAAAAGTTTTATTTTAAAAACAGACGCAATTTTATCTAAAAACTGATTCAATTAGAAAGAATTTTATTTTTAAGTTGAGAAAGAATTTTTAATTTTAACAACAGACACAATTTTATCCAAAAACATATTCAATGAGAAACAATTTTTTTTAAGTTCAAAAAAAGAAATTGACTGGAACGGGTTTGAACCTGCGACCTCTAGATTGCTGTTCCGGTGCTCAACCAACTGAGCTATCCAGTCCTATTTGGCGGTTCCCCAGTTTGTCAACGTCTTTGTTCAAGTAGAAACAAAGAACTTGTACACGTGCACACATGTACATGTGTGTATCCAAAGCAATGTCATTTTAAAAACCATAAATTCAAACTGTTCAACAGTTATTCCTTAAGTTACACGGGATCGTATTTCTCAACAAACAAGTGCATATCCCGACCTCCTTCCCTCGTCACAGATTGAAAGAAATCACAGTCGAAAAGCGTCCGGGCAAGAGCTTGATTGATTGCTATTCATGTCTGTGCCAGGCTACGCATAAATGTACACGGAAAATGTACGGCATAATAGTCTGAGAGCCAGTGAATGTGGCGATCGATCAGGCAAACCAGCATGATGTGGAGCCCCGCTTTCACATTATGAGAGATGGGGTGGATGAGATCGTTGTACGTTGTGTTGTACATGTATTGTCTGGATGGACTTGGTATTTTGTGAATCCAGGGTCATAAAAGATGATTAACTCTGAGTCTTTTTTAAAGGCATATAGGGTCTTTTGCATTTATCCCAAAAGTAACCTACCAAATTATTACTAGAAAGCTTACTTGGATTAAAGATCGTACTGGTACTAAACACCCTGTGAAATTATTCCGTCTGGCTTGCTGTCATTTAGAAGAAATCTAGAAATGTTGGTGAAATTCCAACGATCAGTCAAGCGATTGATTTTTGGAATAAAGAGTGCTATTGACGAAATCGTGTTTCGTGATTAAAAGGTTGTGCAAGGTTTTTCACTGTTTTCTGAAAAGTGTTATATCTACAGAACTGAAACTTCAACAGGTTTATTATTTTGAACAGTCTTTGTATTTTGAGTGGTGTTATTTTTGGAAACGAACAAAATGCATGAAAAGCAAGTGATCCTATATGCCTTTATCTTTGATATTTAAGGCTATATAAATGACACCCAATGTTACATCCTGTTTTAGAAAGATTGTGTTATGTTTTCATAAAGAGATTAAATGCTTTCAAAACAACAGGCCATCCCTAGGGTGACAATACAAGTACGTGACTTCAGTGGTGTAGAGAATATGTTGATGCATTGTTACACATGGCGATGGGGTCAGAGGCCAAACGGATCCAGACTAGAACAGCATGGAAGTCATTCCGTGAATCACAAAAGAAAAAAGTATATCCAGGGAAAATAGAAACAAGTGCAGAGCAGTGTACACTTCACAAGAGAAATGTACTAGTTGCAATGGATGCAGAGTGCTGAAAAAGCAATCACTCAGTATTCACACTGCAGTCCAGTAGACGATTTGTGAAGATTGTTATCGACTCAGAGAAATTACATGTATGCCTGTTAGAAATGGCACACACCATACAATATTCTTGCCTTGTAAGTTAGTCCCAGCAAATGAGGATGCTTAATTTTTTGTTTTTTCATTGCTGTGAAACGAAGGAATACATATTTTTTCTTCCCTCGATCGAATGAAAGCCTATAACGTGTTACTGTTGGCTCATGTTGGTCTCATGTGCAGTTTTGTTGAAAGAATATGGATTCTCGTTCTCACACATCGATCACCTGACTGACAGTCGTAAGACAATATACAGTGAAATCTCGATAAGTCAAACTCTGATAACTCAAAACAACAGTTAAGTCAAACAAAGAATCCATTACCCTCAGTAGTATAACAATGATATATACAACCCTGCTTAACTCAAAACTCTGCGTAAGTCAATTTTGAACCTGTTCCCTTGAGGTTTGACTTATTGAGATTTCACTGTACCCTAAAAACTAGGCCAAGCTCCACCGTCAACATTGCGGTAAAAAGTTTATCCTCTATTTCATCAAACACATGTAGATTTGTCTCAATTTCAAAAGGTTCTACTAGATTTTGTACATTGTTTGTATATTTTTTTCACACCCTGTTTTTCCTCTTTTCACCAGCTACGCGTATCCATGGAAACAGACCACTTTCTGATCAACCCCTTTGGCATGATGTATCACGAGGTCACGGCCTCCTCCCTCATCAAGGTGGACATGCTGGGTCAGACCGTCGACCCCGGCACCACGACCTTTGGCCCCAACCTGGCCGGCTTCACGTTGCATTCGGCCATCCACAGCTGCCGGCCCGACGCCAAGTGCGTGGTGCACATCCACACCCCAGGTGTTGTAGCGGTGAGTTGCCTGATCCTCTCTTGTGGGATTAGGGTGAAACTTAAAGCAACACGTAGATCAAGAAATTTGACTGCATATAAGAGTCACCTTTGCTGTGTATCACAAGTGACTGGTGTATTCAGGCACAGAGGCAGGGTAGAGTGCTAGGTCCCCAAACTTGGCATACTCAGAAAGAAACTGTTAAAAACAAACTTACCTGATCCTGGTTTGGCTGTACAGGGAAAAGTCAAGTGACACCTATAAAGCTAAAACAACAATTGGTGCTCATCAATTCGGGCGATTCACAATGCAGTGCGCCACCAAGAGTTGGCCATGGAGAGTAAACTTTTCAAGTTTATGGTCGACAAAATATGGCCCATTTGAATGAGTGTCAGTAGACACTTGAGCTAATTTGTTATAGATTGGGGCATAGCGTTCTGCCGCCTTACCAAAAATCACCATAGTGATACAAAGAAAAGAAAAGGGCAAACATATACTCAAATCATACGCTTGCGAAACTACTGACCGGAAGAAAACGAACAATTTCAAATGTCCCGCGCTGCGAATTTGTCGACCATATCCCACAATGCACTGGGAAAAATGAACTCTCTGTGGCGAACTATTGGTGCCGCTCTTCATTGTGAATCGCCTGAATTGAGACTTTTCCTTTGCATCGTTCTTTCAAATACATTGTTTGTGGGGCGCGGTGGTCCAATGGTTACAGTGTTCGACTTACGTGCTGTGGCACTTGGGTTTGAACCCTGACTGGGAACATGGTGCTAATGTTCTTGGGCAAGACACTTTACTACAATTGCCTCTCTCCACCCAGGAGTATGGGTGCCTGTGAAGGTGGAGACCAGATTGCGCTGATCTCGATCTGCTGCAGAAAAATGGTCTCATTCCTGATGAACAGGGATAATAATTGTAAAGCGCATTGAAACCTTAGATTTAAAGCGCTATATAAGCACCACATTATTATTATTATTATTATTATTATTACCTCCCGTAAAAAAATGAAAGACGTTTCAGTTGTTCTGCAGGAATAAGGACAATTTATGAAAGAAGTCTAACATAAAAGTTGGGGTTTTTTTTTAACATAAATGCTTCTGTGTGCCCATAAGCATTTGACTCCACAAAGCTACTTCTTGAAGCTTTGGTGAGGCAAATACTTAGCCATTTAGTCACTGTAGCACCCGAAATTACCGCCCTACCTATTACTCACTGTAGCGCCTGAAACCGCCCCGAGCACTCTATTGTCCTATCGATTCTTCAGTGAATAAACACAATGTAATACAATGTAGTACAAGTGCTAATAGGTTAATGTCACACAGTGTTGTTAGCCCCTACAATTTTGCCAGACAGTTCAGCTAGCGACTGAAAAATCAAATCAATTTCCTTATTTCTTTTCTTCGTCTACCCGCCAGGTTTCATCAATGAAGCAAGGGCTGCTGCCCCTCAGCCAAGAAGCCCTGATCTGCGGCGAGGTCTCCTACCTTGACTACAGCGGCATCATCGTCAACGATCAACAGAAGGATGACATCATCCGCGCCCTGGGCCCTAACAGCAAGATCCTGTTCCTGCGCAACCACGGCGTGGTGTGCTGCGGCGAGACGGTGGAGGAGGCTTATTACTGGACGTACAACGTGGTCGCAGCCTGCGAAATCCAAGTGAGTTTTTGGCCACTTCTGAAATCTTGCTTTTGGCCACAGGCTTAGGCTTGGGGTTCCAGTAATCTTGGATTTTTTGGTCCCTAATTGAGCTCAATATGGTCCCTTTTCAGTGATAGTGAATCATGAAATCCTGTAGTACAGTTTTAGACAGAAATTGTAAGGTTTTTGCGTTTGGTTTAAGCCCGGTTCATACTTCACGCGAAAGCAAGTGCGAAGCGAAATTCATGTCGTCAACAATGGTGGACGCGCTTAGAACGTATTGTTGACTTCACGAATTTCGCTTCGCTTTCGCGTGAAGTATGAACCTGGCTTAAGCATGAACTCTAACCCACCTCAATCCTCCAAAATCATCCTGGGGGTTTTGGAGGGTTTGGAGGATTGATTTTGGAGGATTGAGGATGAATGGTGTTGAAGGACATAACAATTTTAGAGGATTGAGGATAAATGATCTTTGAAAAGGAGGATGATTTCGGAGGATTGAGGATGAATGCATTTTGAGAGTCAGGACTGTCCGATTTTGAAGGATTGAGGCGACCTTCATTTGAACATAAGTGCAAGATTTTGGAGGATTGAGGATGGTTCCTAGCAAAGGGGTTCCTAGGGGTAAGACTGCCGTTCAATTGGTTCCAAGACAAGATCAAACTGGTAACAGAGATGGTATGAGCAGTTACCTTGCTAGATGCAACAAGATGAAACAAAGCACAGGGACTACGGTACAGTTGGCTGCTAAATGCTACAGTTTGCAACAAGTTTTCACCATTGTTGCTTTCTGTTGCATCTAGCAGGGTAAGGGTTCAGTGACATGAATTTTTTATTAAAAATATGATTGACTTGATGTTTTCCCTTCCAGGTAAGGTGCATGTCCGTCGGCTTGGACAACCTGATCCTGGTCTCGGACGCCGTCAAGGAAGAGACCCGCGAGGTGGCCGTCAAGGGCGGAGGCGGCGTGATCAAGCCCACCTCGCCGGAGGAGGAAGGGGAGAAACGGCGGGAGAGAAGGTGGAAGATCGGAGAGCTGGAGTTTGAGGCCATGATGCGGCAGCTGGACAACATGGTGAGACGACACGGGCTCTTAGAGACGGGACAGTGGGCCGAACCGTTATCCCTAACCACCCCTAAAGCTACAAAATACTACTGAGTAGAAACCTGTAGTATGCATTTCTTTCCATACAAGTGTGCACAACACATGTAGTATTCTGTGGTAATTTGGTCCTTGACCCTCAAGAGCCTTTAGGGGTTAGGGTTATAAGCCCCACCCACGGTGTTCCGACCAATCGCAGTCGTGACTTGTGTCTGTATGCGTTCACAAAAGTCCGTTATCGATGCTGTGACGAGTTCAGCTAGAACATGCGATGTGGCGTTGGAGAGGAGCATGTGTTACTTACCCACGTGTGCAGTGGGCTTAAGCCTCTCTGGTCACACTTTAGGCATCTGCTTTGAAGTCCAGTTAAGACGCCGTGGTGGAGTTTCGACACAAAGTGTCGGACCTACTTGGCCACTTGAGGACCCGTTCAAGTGCTAAAACAATTTGAGGTGTCAAATCAGGGTGAAATGATATTGGGTCAAGTGTCAAATCAAGTCCTAAGTCTCGGTAAAGTCCTATCAATTCGTTGTCGAGTTCCAAGTCTTATTGGAGTTTTGCACTAAATGTGGTCCCAATTATACTAGTTTAAGTGCCAATTCAGGTCCCAATTCTAAATGGTCTATAACCAGGTAGGTCCTTACATGTGTGATAAATATGCATGGACATATAGGTCTCAATACTAGCTCAAGTGCCAAATTCAGGGATGTACGTCCTCCTGCACTTTCCTGATTTCAGGTTTTTGTCAAAATGTAAATAACATATTGGCACCATGTGTGAGTGTACATGTATACCTGCATACCTCAGATTTCAGGCAGAAAGCTCAAAGAGTCCACTAACAATCCCTGCAAATTGTTTCAGTACAATCCCAAGCTAAGACAGACTCAAAATGTGATTCCAGTTCAGCGTAACTGTGTCATGGCCTAGCGGTAAAGAGCACTGGACTCATCATGCTCTGGTGTTTCAGAGGCAACAATGACGTGGGTTTAAGCCCGGGTAGCCACTTGTGCCCTTAAGCAAGGCATTTAACCCTTATTGCTTCGTCCTTTGGATGGGTCCTGCGTGTTGTGTCATGCAATACACGTAAAAGAACCCAGTGACAAATTGCTAAGAGGAGGGGTTTGCCCCGGTGTTTCTGGCCTCCTGCTAAAATTCCCATGCAGAGTATTTAGGAGAAGAACCAACCAAGAACCAAGTAACCGTATGACTGTGATTTATTGCACATGCCACAGGGCCACCGAACAGGTTTCGTCTACCACCAGCCCCTGGTGCGCTCAGACCCCAAGCCCCGCAGCGAGGTGGCCCACCCGGCAGCCTCCACCTCAGTCACCTACTTCTACGACGACGACAGGGAGGGCAGCAAGTACCAGTCCCCCATGAAGCTGATGAACCGCAAGCAGGCTGGCGAGAAGACTAAGTGGCTGAACACGCCCAACACATACACCAAGGTCGAAGTTCAGGAGGAGGTCAAGGAAGGGGAGGAGGCCAAGACAAAGACAGTGGTAAGATCTGTTACTCTTTTTTTATCTTAGAAATCGTGATGATCACCTAGAAAAAAAGGTTGTGGAGAAATTCCTTGATAGGGTTCATTGTGTCTGATGAGTAGGGCTGTTCATGCGACAGAGCGCAGATATCGCTGACAGAGATGCAATCAACCTATTGTGGTAAACTTCCTTGCAACTTTTTCCGGGAATGTTATTGAGTTTGATTCAGAAAATCTGAGCTGTTCTGCTTGAAAGCTAAACTTCTTTCATGTCTGAATCTGTCATTTTTTGGGGGGTCCTGAAAGTAGCTTTGCTATGGGAATGCAGCTGAAGAGGTGTGGCAATGAGTTGTTAGGGTTTGTGACTCGTGATCAGAGGGTCAGAGGTTCGAGTCCAGCTGCTGGCCATATGTGGTGTCCTTGGGCAAGCCACTTTACCCCAACTTGCTTCTCTTCATCCAGTAATATGAGTGGGTACTATCATTAGGAGTCCTGTGTGATGGAAAGTAGGAATATTCTCCGTCATCACATGCCAAGGAAATCTACAGTGGCAGCAAAAGTTTGCCATGCTATGAACACTTTTTTTTTTCTTCGAGACATTTGTCATCGAGACAAAACAGAACTTACATGTAGCTGTTAAACCCCCCCCTCCCTTTCCCCGCCCACCCCTTGGAATCTCTGTGTAGGCTCACGCACCTTATGTACAAAAAGAAAAGTCAAGTTGATCTCCGGTTCCCTTGGCATAAAATGGCTGAGATTACTCCAATTTCCCCTGGATGGGATGCTGAAATCCATCGCAGGTTACTCCCCAGCTAATGCAGGTACCCATTTAATACTCCTGGGTTGAGTGAGGCAAGTTGGGGGTGAAGCAGCTTGCCCACGGACCCAATATATGACCAGCAGCTGGATTCGAACCCCTGACCCACTGAGTCACGAACCCTAACCACTTGGCCACGCTCCCCCTCACTCACCTTATGTGAGAGATAAATTGTTGTGGCCATAAAATGAGGAATGTCCTTACATTGTTTGTTTTGTTGTTGTTGTTTCTTTCAGTGGGTGACTGATGAGGCTAAGCAGACATCTGGCGAGTCAATGAAAGTGGCTCCTCATCAGTTTTCAGTGCTATCTGAGGACCCCAAGGAACTGAAGAAAAAACAGAAAGGCGTAAGTTGACTTAACACAACCAAATAAATTTGTCTTTGCACTGGTGTCTGAAGCATTTGCTGCATCTGACCCCAAACACAGTTTCTGATAAAAAAAAAAATGTTTTAACCTTTTCTGCTAGTGTCGAGACGTCAGGTCATCTAACTTTCTTTAAATTTTAAGTTTTAAAGAATGTATTAGTGAAAAACGCCTAGTGTAAAAGTATTTATTGTTTCCAAACATTGTAGAAGTTAGAGAGGCTTCCATCCTCACATTTTCAAAAAATGTCCGAAATAGTGAGGGTTCATCAAAATTTGAAAATCAAACTTGTTGCATTGTTTGTAGTTCAAAAAATAACCAGCTGCCTGTGGCCTTCACATTAACACACTCAACATTTCTGTTATGGAAAAAAGGACTCTTGGTAGATTTTCTTATGAAAACTAGAGGCATTTGGGGCTGTGTATTTGTCAAGTACAGTGTTGACAGAATACGTATGGCAGGTTTATCTGCGGTCGTCAAAACAGGAGAACGGGCTTCAATTTCCATGCAATTGATGTCCAACAGAGGTCAGTGTCTTATAAAGAAATAAGACAGAGCAAACTAAAGGTGCCAAAAGTTGATAACATTGGGGTTTTTAAAGCTATAGTCCATCATTTGCAGCTATCCGAAAAGTAACTGGCATAATTATTGTTGAAAAACATTCTTGGTTGAAAGTTAGTAAGGGGACTAAACTCCCTGTGAAATTATTCTTTCTGGCAAGCTGTCATTTTGAAGTAATCAACGAAAGAAGGCCTTTCCAACGGTGCTTCTTAAAATGCACCGTAGGAAATTTAAAGTAGTAGTTCATTTTGTTATTCGGCGAAGCGCGCGCAAGCATTGGCACTATACGCACACGCATGTGCGGTTGCTATAATTCGTCGGATCAGTGCGTGACATCGCGTAGCTGCAATCGGCTCAGTGAGAACGTGTCTCGGACGCTGAATTCAGGCCCAATTCAAAACATGATTCAGCAACTTTTGATTTGAAATCGAGATCCTAGAATGCTGTTTTTCTCTGAATATACAGCTGAAGCTGAGCTGAAACTTCATCAGGTTAGTTGTTCAGCACCCTTCTTTAGATTGTGAGCACTTTTGTTGCTTCAAACGAACAAAATGCACAAATTACAAATGATGGACTATACCTTTAAGATATCGATAATGAAAAAAAAACAGAGCATGTTGATCAGAGTTGTTATGTCTCCCTCTCGTTATCTTCGGTTGTACAGATGAAGGCGGATAGGTTTGATGACAAGGTGACAGCAGGACCCATCTCAGAAGTGCTGTCAGGCGTACAGTATGGCGACTCACGCAGGGCACAGGTGGGTTGAAGTTAGATGCTTGTCCTTCCAATGCAAACCATTTATGTAATCCAGACACGGAGAGCTCTGTGTCGGAATCCATGCCCCATCAAAGCAGCAAATAGCGTGTCTACCATGGGTGGTGGTCTATACATTTGTTTCATTTCATAAGCATTTCCTAATTCTTTATTTTTAGCACTCCAACCCTGCAGATTTTTTTTTTGGGAGGACCTCCCCCAATCTAGCTTCTAACCCCACCCCTTAAACAGAAGAGAAAATAAGCACATGATACAAAGGGTCATTCTGTAAATTTTGGGGTCCCAAAGTGTGATTTTTTTTTTGTGTCCCTGTGTAATTTTGCCGCGCAGGTATCATTAAGATTGACCTCAGACTATTTGTCATTTTTTTAGGCAAGGACTTTGCTTTACACAATCATTCATGGAGATAGATGGCTTTGAAGAATGCGTCCTGAATTTATTAAATCTTATGTCTGATGTAGCAGGGACAACAATAAAATTAGACCCCAAATTTATGGAATGACCCCAAACACATTCACGAAACAAAAATTCGGTGATTTGTCAATGAAATTGTTTTTTTTTCTGGATTGGCAATTCCACGCAATTCCATTGGTTTTCATTCACACGAAGTAAACTTTAATTATGAGTTGGGTATGCATGTTCACAAATGCAGCAACAGGACACCACTGTGGCAATTTGTGTATCAGAAATGTGCATAGTTCAAGGAACATTTGCGTTGCATTTTATGTTGACTTTAAAAAAATGTTATTATTACTGTAAAATATTGCAAAAGCATCCCATTGACAATTTCAAGTTGATTTGAGGTGTGGCATGCATGCATAGTCTTATTTGCACAAGCTTGTTTCATACAATGCATGAAAACCTCCTATTCGCATTTATTTAGCATCCCCCTTTTTCATTCTTTGACAGTCCTTTCTGACTTGCAATCACATTTTTTTTGTCTACTCATTGTTTGTTTCCACATTTCGTCAAAAGTATTCGAGATCCCGTCCGACTCTAACAATAATTCTAGATGTGCGCCTCGGGCGAATTCTCGAAAGTTTTATCTGTCTGGGATCACAGTGTAACACAAAACTTCTGCAGTGTGTCACATGTATTCTTCAAAAACCTTTAAATGTCAACACACTTTGGGATAAAAGCAGGCAAAGTGACAACAGGGGGCAGGCTCCGTTCTTCTGCAGTGATCAGCTACGTACATGTAGTCTTTGCTTGTTTTGTTTTTCTTAGCTTGCTAGGGATGCCCCCTTGTCTGACTCCAAAGACAAACTGCAAGATTCACCCCGCAAGGTACCGGTATCTGACCAACTGACCCCTCAGCCTAGTGAAAAAAAACATGGCTTTTTCAAAATATGTTTGCTTTTTTTGCCAGGATCTTTACTCTGCCATCACCAGTTGCAAAATTTCTCTGCTTTCCTCCTTTTTTCTACATTCCTCCTACTTCATGTATTCTCTCATGCACCGCCTTTTTTTTGCAGTTGTGTTTTTGCTCAGCTGTAGTCGGTTGTGTTGTTTAGCGCCACGCTATTTTACCTCAGCTGTAACATTGTCATTGCGTTGTGAAACTTTTGCGTTGTGAAAAGTTCAGCCTTTTTCGTTTTAAGTTATGCATAAGTACGGAAACACTTTTAAGTTGAAAATGATACTGTGGCTAGCATTGCTCCCGTTCCCTCACAAATTCATTTTTGTAACAAATTTTGACACACAGGCTCGCCAGAAATTTCAGCATGGTATTTCATAAATTCTGTGCCCCCTGGGTTAGTGTAGAGTTTTTGTGTTGGGCTTTCAGTTGTAAGCACAGAATTGCGACAATTATCCAGAAAATCCACATGTAACATCAGCATGCATATAGGCCAGACTACTTTATTATGGATTTTGAGTGCCAACCCATGGAACTATGTATGCATGAACATTCAGAATAATCATTTAAAAAGCTTAACAAAAAATGCCGACATTTTGTATTGTTTTGAAAAGTAGTTTTGGAATTGATGGAAAGCCTGGATTTTTTTTTTTTTTTTTTTTTTTTTTAAGATCAGCATTATTAACATTTCCTTCATAACTCACGCCTTCTTTTTAGATGGTTTTGTTCACTTCAGAACATGAATTGTTCAAAATTTGGCACTAAATAGATTTTCCAAATGCACTTTTTATTTGCACTTTTAAGGCAACTGATAAGAATGTTAAAGGCATGTACGAACGTTTGCAATTTCCCGGATAAGTACATTGTACCTGCTTAAAGTTTTACGAAAAATACATTGTACCTGCTTACAGTTTGACGAAAAAATGCTTGCTCAAAGTGAAAACAGGTCTGATACCAAATTTATTGTGAATTACCAAATTTATTGTGCCTGAAATGGCATCATTTGGTTTAAGAACATGTGCCCACAGGCGCATTTTTTACGTGCATTTTTTTTACGCGCGTTGGCAACGGAATCCAGTTATGCAACCCCAAAAAATTGTGCATCCGTTTTCTCTGAATGTATAGTATCCACTGAGCTGAAACTTCAACCAGTTAATTGTTATGCAACCAAATTTTGAGAAATTTTGTTGCTTCAAATGAAAGAAAAAATTGCACAAAAAGCAAATGATCCCATGTACCTTCTAAAAAGTTCCCTCAGCAAGCTGAGGTCCAACAAGCTGGAGGTTTAAAAAAGACGAGACAGTTCCCTGGATATTCTCATGGTCAATTCCATCGAACAAAGGCCGAAGTAATGACATAGTTGAACGGTTATTTTAGAGGTTTGTTTTTGTAGTCTTTAGCATATTTAATGTGCTTTCAGCATATTTGTTCATAATTCTTGCTTCAGTGAACGGTAAAAACAATATTGTATGGGCACCCGGATAAATTTATTTAAGCAAATATATTCCTGCCTGTTATATTTAATGTTTAGCCAATAACGACACGCTTTGCTTCTTGTGCAACTAACATTTCTGCTTCCAGTGTGTAAAGAAAGACTTGTCATTTTCTAAGATTGATTCTAGGTTTTGAAACTCAACTTCTCTTTAAACATGTTAAAGGGATATTGTTCGACATTTAATGCGTGGTTTACAACTTGATTGTTGCTGCTTAAAATATTTTTGACATAACATGTTTTTGTTTTGTTTTGTTTTGAGTTTTTGCCCTGCTTTTCTCAACTAAAATTGTTTTCCCCGAAGTACGATGCTCATAGCATAGCCGTGCACATTATAAAAAAAATAAGAGCTAGTTTAAGACAATGCCTGAAAAAAATTACTGGACTCGGTAAAATTTGAAAGTTGCAGATTCAAATCCCGCTGAGGTCAATATTGACTGCTAGATTGAAAGTTTTTTAAAATGTCCGATGGCTGGTTCTTGGTAATGAAAGCGAAGGTAAAGCATAAGCTGCAGTGTCATGAACTGATATTTATGCCAACTCCAGACAACGCTTTCAGAGATTTCGCCACATGGCTCTAAGTTTGCTGTAAGTGAAGACTCATTTAGATGCCTTCAGACATGTGTCATTCTTACGCTTCATTACTACACTTGCTAAAGCCCGCCTCAGGTCAACCTGCGATTTGCTTGCACCACGACAGAACCGTCGCCATCAAGTAGAAAAATCATGCTCAGGTCACAAAAGTGAGAAATCATGTGATTATCATGGAACAAGTGGCATCTGGGCGCAGAATAATTGCACACAATACCATTCAAATGCGTGAATCGGGGGACGCACATGCGTGTTTTTGATTGGCTTCCGATGAGATGGCCGTACAGTGTATGCGACACCAATTACATGTAGTCTTCAGAAATAAAATTCACCGATGCTGGCGGTTTTAATTTAACTCTCAACACATCATTTGCGAAGACTCCAGGTTTGACTTTCACAGCCTTTTGTCATTCAAACATTTTGAATTTGTCTTTTGATTTACTTCTGTCCAGCAGCCTGGCGCAGATGGGGATCAGGTGCAAGCGGCCTCCAAGGGAATCATCAAGCGAGAACACCAGAAGGACGTCATGCTGTACACCGCCTACGCCCCCAATCCGTTCGAGAACATGACCGAGGAAGACATCTTGAAGTACAAGCAGGAGATTGCCGAGAAGACTGGCCAGGGTGAGTGGTCTCCTACCGCAAGTTCCTTTAACCCTAAACACCTTGAGTGATTTACTAGGATCCTTCCTCACTCTTGCAAAATCCAACCACCACCCCCATCTCCTTTCCTCCAGCAAAAGAAAACTGAAAAAGAAAAAGTCCAAGATTTATTTAGAGAAAGGTCGGATTGTGAGTGTCACCTGTCTATCCCCCCCCCCCTCCCCCAATCGCCAGGATGTTGCTTGATATCCTTCAAAGGGTTGGCACGAAATTCCAGTTGTTATTGACCAACTGTCTTGTTTTTGTTTTTAGATGTGAAAGAGATTGAGTTGATAGTACAGGCGCCTAACATGAACGGCCCAGATGGTATGGAAGAGACTACCACTACAACCCAGAGAGAAGTAGTTGTCACCAAGGGAGGTGAGTTGATGAGCATTTATTTCATTACCCTAACCCTTCAAGATCTTTTGAAAGAATCCAGCAAGAGTTTTTGGTGGATTTGAAAGGGTTGGGAAAGGTAATGCCCAGCAATTTATTACTTTACATGGGACTAGGAATGTAGTCGAGTCTAACACAATGTCCAACACAAGTCCTGTCTCAAGTCCAGTCACAAGTCCAGTCACAAGTAACAGTGGATGAATAATAACAAAGGAATGCCTTTGTCAAAGGTCATTTGAAAAGCTTATGACTGGAGGACGTGTGATGGACTCAACTACGTGCCAGCTATGGGACAGAGCATGAGCCATTAGGTTTCTGTAAAGTGGTGAGTTTTGGAGGATTTACAAATCTTCCTAGAAAAGCAAATGCACAGGCAGTCAGGTTACGACATGCACTGTTTATTACCTCGACTCTCAGCTAGAAATTCAGTTTCAAGGCAAGTTTTGGTTGTGCAGTACGAGCACGCATTCTGCTGGTGAAATGGTCAAAGGTTCTGTTTTCCACCTTTTTGAAGTCTCAACGCCGTATAAGTTTAGGTAGTTTAATCCCCCTGGTTTTCAAGCCAGACAGGAGGATTTTGCGTTCACGTGTTCCTTCTGTGTGTCCGTGTGTCTGGGTGTGTGTGTGTTCCATTTCACTGTAAAGTTCAGTCATCAGTCTCAACCAAACTTGAAAGGTGAGGCGGACATCAAAAAATCCTTTCCAATATGGATATTTACGAGGTCTCTGGAGAGTTACTGATGACTCTAACACATGTTAGTCTGGTGTCTCACCAAAACTCTCCATTCAACCCAAACTCCCCATTCAACTGAGAACTGGTACCTGCCGGGTGGACAATCAATTTCGTCACTGAAAATTGTCCTTACTAACTGACTGTACATACGTATACAAACTGCCAGGATGCCGGGGGATCGCGCAAGTTTTACTTGCAGTATTTTTTTTATGACATATTTAATGCTCCCATCATCTCTATCTGAAATCCTGCAGAAGACGGCTCGGAAGTCACAACCACCCGAGTTGTGACAACCAAGATGACAACCAAGGAGACTACGCTGAACGGAGACGAGGCGGAGGCCGAAGCCGAGGAAGGGGAGGAGGACGACGAGAGAGCCGCCTCCCCGTCCCAGGAAGCCGGGGTGAGGAGCGCCAGTAGCGCTGAGGCGTCCCCGACCAAGGACGCCACCTCCCCCTCTAAGAAGAAGGACAAGGGCAAGAAGAAGTTCCGAACCCCTTCATTCCTCAAAAGCAAGAAAGACAAAAAAGAGAAGGCGGAAAGTTAAACACCTTTCTTTTTCTGTTTTCCCCTTCAATAAAACGACAGCGCTATTCCAAGCTTTTGAGAGAGGGTCTGTGTAACGTATGGAGAGAGCTGTCCAGCTTTTTTTTTTCCTTCAGAAGTGGCCTCATTTTCACTTATCTAGTCGGAACCGGTCAGAACCTGTTCCTACCAGTTGTTGTTTTCATACAGCACATGTAATAGTTTAAGCTTACAAGAGAGTCTTCAGCCCAAACTGGATTGAACTGGTTCAAAGCAGTTGGCTTCACAAGACTCAGTTTTCTTTTGTTTATTATTAACTTCATTGACGCCAAGTTGAACAGTAAATACAGTTTGCTTCATACTTCACTCTCTCTCTCGACACTTTTATGTGTTTTTTTTTTGCATGTAGGTTTCGGGAATTCAAGGACAGACTTTTTGGGGGAGTTTTAGACGGTAAATTTAAAACTGCTGCAATTTTCAATGAATCGGATGTAGCTTGCTAAATCTCTGTACATTAATGTGATTTGCTCGTCGAATGGGAAAACTCTGGCGAGATTTGTCAGGTTTTTTTAACAGTGCTTTGCTATGTAGGTAATATTCCAGCGTACAGTGTAGGTAGCGCTCATCAAATGGAAATGAAATAATAAAACTGTAAAACAGTGCATTCAAGACTTATAACGGAAATTGGACAGAAAAAGCCCCCAAGATATTTCAAGCAGAAAAGATTGGGTTTTTTTTCTTCAACTTGTAAATTGATTGCTTCTGTGTCGATGGGTGTGTAAGTATTGACATGTGTTAATCGGTCGTCATTTTTAACGCAAGGTTGTTGGGTAGTTTGTAAAAAAATAAAGGTAGATGGTGCTGCACCGTCACCTTGTTTCCATGGCAACTGCCCTGTATTCTGCCCTGTATTCTGGTCACATTCTATGTAAATTTATTCCAACCAAAAAGAGGGGAGAGTAGCCCCAAACGTCTTAAAGAAATAACCCAAATTATGAATCAGTTATTCTGATAACTTGAAGAAAATAATGTAACTCCCCAGAATTTCGGGAGAGAAAAAAATGAATAGAAAAAATAATCTTTTTAATTGATTGACATGCACAAGTAATGGATATTTTCTCAGAGCACCCACAAAAAAAACTGTAGATTAATAATAAATGTCTTGATAAGTGTTTTAATGTGACATTCTAAGATTGTAAATGTAAAAAAAAAGTGTATCGCTCTTTGAAAATACGAAGAGGTCCTATGCGTTCGTTGTTGGTGTTCCTTGTGGATCCAATGTGTACATTTTTTATTGTTGCTGTTGCACACATGTAGGTGTTTAGTGCAAAAAGTCAAGTGATTCTGAACAACACAAACATTGTAATTGACTAAACTTTCGAAACTCATGACATCGCAAGTGCATTTTAGGGCTGATGATTGTTCCTTGTACCGTATGTCCAAATGCTCTTTCTGAGGATGTTTTGCAGGTGCTAAGTGATTGGGCTGGACATCAAGTGTATAAGAGAAATGGGTCTGCTGAATGGTTATGTAGTTTTTTGGGGTGTTTGGATAATGAGCAGATGGATCTCATGTGATGTGCATGTGACGGGCATGTGATGTGCATGTGACGGGCATGTGTTGAGCGTGTGACCATGTGCGTGGTATCCATGCCAGCAGCATGTGAGTCTTCATGTGATGGCCACGTGCTCGGCATGTGACAGGGAGAAGCTTTCAGGGTGCGGCATAAATTTTTTGAGGTCGTATGGATAAAAAAAAAAAAGAATTTGGAAAGGTTTGATTCTCTCAGACCGTCTACAGGAAAAATGACTTATTTCTACTTCAACATCAATTGATAATTATTTGGTGATAAATGTCCTTTGCTTTGATGTGCAAATTATGACAAAACAAAAATTCTTGAACAGTGTTCAGTGTTTTAATACTGCTAAGCTCGTGAATCACTGCTCGTCGCCAGATTCATTTTTGTAATCGTTCCCGCTTACTTTCTCTGTAAGATTTTGTATTCATCTTTGCACTCCATCACATTTTACCAGTATGTAGTTCTGTGCCTAGTGATGATAATTGTATTTAAAAAAAAACTGTAGTACAGCCCAGGAGGTATTCGAGCCGCATCCATCAGTGTAGAACTCGCAAGTGGTGTTTCTGTGCCGAGATCATTTGATACGTCTGCACCGGAGGTATGCCCTTGATGTATTCATGTATTCGTAGACTAGGAGATATACCAAAATGAATATTCAAATTATAAAAAAAAAAAAAAATCCTGTTCTTGCGTAATTTATAACTCATGTGTAATTTTGTCAAAATTTAGACACCTGCATGCATAGTGCTGTGTAAGCAAAATAATAGTACTTGACTACATAGGTGTAAGTTTAAATAAAAAATGAAAAAAATGTTCAATAAATCATAATATTGTAAGATAACCATGTGTATTGATATTAAGTGTCTTTGATTTTTAAGTGGGACTTACGTAGAGTAACGAAGCTGCAGATTTGTTCATGCGTATGACGTAACAAAGTGATTGCTTCAAAGAGCAAAACCAAAATCCTCAAAAATTGTCACACAAGGACCTGTGAATAAGGTTTTTGATATGGTTGCCTGACAATTTTTTTTTTTCAAGTTGAAATTTGTTTGTAGAATGTAGTATCCCAACAGGAAGTCCATTCCAACATCATTCTGATTATCGGTGAAGTCTTACAAAGATCGCCGGTCATACCTTCTCACCTTCATTGGTAAAGTTCAATCCTAATATTTTCATACCACAGACATCCTTTTCTTTAAATAGTTCAAAGTTTTGAAGGATTCAAAAAGTGGATATTTGAAGTCAAATATGTCTTGTAAAAAAATGCAATTTTTGTTTTCAAATTTCTAGTTAGGTGATTTAACCCCATGAACATGTCAAGATGACATGAGTGTTAGAAATGAAACGAGTGAAACAACACATCAAATTTATTTTCTACAGAGAAATTTTGATTGTGTAGCATATCTCTGTGTTTGACTGATTTATTTTGTTTTATGAGATGAAGTTTTGTTTTATTTCAGTTTTGGTTTGGATGTCGTTCACGCAGTTTCATAGTCGACGGTAAATGTTGCCAAACGGTTCTAAACGGCACCTTTAGATTTTTTGACATTCCTAAAAAAAAAACTGTACATTTTGGGTCAATTTGTACGTTGTTTTAAAGTTCACCTGTCCTTTTACAAGGATTTATAGTATCAAAGGGGTGGGGTGACTGGTACATGTGTAGGGGGAGGGGGTAAACTCACCCAATCATGGTGCATTCGTGTTACATCCTCTAATACATAACGGTAAAACTAAAAGCTTCGTGAAAAATCGTCAGTATTTTTCATTCTAGGATAATTTTCATCAACATGTCATAGTGTGTGCTTACCCACATGGTACGGCCTATGTTACTTTTTTTTCCCTGCAGCTTTGTCGATCCACAGGGTGTTAGGCCATCAGGCTCGGTCCAAAATATTGGCCACTTGTATCAAATGAGGGGAATAATCGCCATAGCGAATTTTGGCAAGGTATACACCTCCAGATTTGGAAAATGTGTGATAGCATTGCAGCGGTGGCAGCTTTTTGAATGTTATCACCCTTTTTTTCAAAATGTCCATCAAAATGCTTGTTACCACTCTAGGGGCGATATACCTTGCGTTTGCCCACTATAATCATTTATGCCCTGATTTGATACTGACTAAAAACCCCAGGCTGATGGCCTATGTGTTTTGATGAGTTTATCAATCACCCAAAAGCCCGTTTGTTTTGTATTTGTAATGATTAAACTAACATCAAACTAGACAAGAGAGGTCATGTTTTTCAATCACAGTTTGTTTTAGATCCCTTTTTCCTCTTAATTTTGATTCACGAGAACTAGCTACATCTGCTGTTTGTCAGCTTTTCCTTTTGCATTTAAATTGCAATAGTAAAAGTCTGTTGACAAAGCATGTACAAAATTTATGCACGCAGCTTACTTTTATTTGGTTTGTTTGGTTTACTCAAAAAGTTAAAATCTTCTGTATTTTTGTCTTCTTTATTGGGGTATTTTTTTAGAGAAGTTCTCTCCAGAGTACTAAACATTGTCCAAGACAATATTTTAAGAAGTAAACAAACAAAAAGGTAAATACATTGTACGTGATTTAGATCAGGCCAATGACTGGTTTGAACATTAGTGCAGTACTTTTTTTTTTTTTAAGAATAACATTTTTTTTTTAGTTTATGTTGTCAGTTCCTTTTTTGTGTTTAAAAATATGAAAATGTGCCACGCTTGCTTGCATTTGACAAATTTTATAATTCGTAGACTTTTGTTATACATCTGATAATGGATACAAAGGAAATTTAAGCAAGGGCTGTACTCATGAGGTTTTAGTTGAAAGTGCAAATACTTAGAGGTTAGATGCCAAAGTTAATATTTGGTAAATTTGTGATCGCAAAGATAATTTTATTGAATGACAAACAGGTCAAAACGATTTGTAGAATCATGTGCGACATATTTCTAAAGTGGATGAAGTCCATTAGAATTAAAATCCCGCTGCGATAGGACAAGTAGATACCATTGTACTTTTATGTTTGTAGTTTTTCCTGCAATCTTGTTTTCAAGTTTGATTTCACGGATGCCACACTCCTGAAAACGGAGGAGTAACAACATTAAATCAACATTTCATGTTATTTTGTAGAAATTTACTGAATTAAGAAATACAAATTTGCCTGTAGGTTAAATACCGAGTTGTTAAAACTATTATGGTATGTTTATTAAAGATTTCTATAAGTCGTTCACGGGAAACTGCACATATTTTGACGTAGAAGTAGTGGAGTAGGAGGACATAGTTTTTAACCGTTGAAACCCAATGTTCATCAGGTAAATAAAAGTACTAGCATATCCTCTGAAATATGTGCAGTTTCCCCGTTTAAAATTTAAACATTTTTAACATTGATAACTTCTTGAATCCGTAATGTATTGCATATCCACAAAAAAAAAATAATTACTTGAGCAAATATTGAAATTTTTGGGGGGTCTATGTAAATGAATTTGAGTGATGTGAAATTTGTCCCTTTTTAAAAACCTTGTTTTTTTTTCTGGCTTAGTAGCTATGTGTATTGCCATGTCACTGATTTTTACGGAGTCTTTAGCTGATTGGGTGTGAATGATGCTGTTGAGGCCTACTGCCTAATGTACTCCAACCCCGCGTGCCACACTTCTATGGCAATGAGGGTCGGATCTGTAGTTTACCCAGGCAAAGCCAATTAAAAAATTTCTTATCTGTATCTGTGATATGTATTTGCCCAACATAGGTGTCACCCTATTGTTTCTCGGTGATCGGGAAAGTCTTTGTAATACGAGAAAAATATTTACATAACATTTATTCATCAGTAAGTACCGAACTCATTGTTACTGCATACAGACAGCTGTTGTGCCCGGTGTGTGGCAGGGATGCGTTGGTTACGCTGTGCTAGAATTGTTCGGAATTGAAACATTACCAAAATTAAAAAGATTGTTTAAAGAACAAGCCAGGTCTACATGCATTATTCACATCCAATAGTATTGCTCAGATCATAGCCATGTTTCTTGAGGTCAATAGACCTGAGACTTAATGACGTAATGGTTTTGTTTACATATGGGCTTTCCTATCTGAGCGAAGTCGGGACGCCAGACGAAGTAGGGGCCGTCTACCACAATAGGAAAGCGCACATGTAAACAAAGCATGACGTCATTAGGTCTCGGGCCTATATCATGTCTGAGTTCTTTGTAGGCATTATAAGCATATTCCCTGGTGCCTGTCTGCATGAGAACAAGAAAACAAAAAAAGCATACTTGTTCGGCGTCAAAAAACATGGCTGCCTCAAGACTCCTGGATAGCGTACAGCCATGTAGTTATCGATAGAAGCTCCCTTGTTCATATCTCTCTATGTAGGCCTATGGTAGAACGTGTGTGCGTGCGTGGCTGTGTGAAAATTCTAAAACAAAAAATCTATTTGGAAGTCTTAGTGTCCCTCTGCTAGTTGCAATATGGTGGCATGGTGTACTGGAGCCGTTTAAAAAAACAAAAACATAAGGAAATTAAAAGAGAAATAAAACATGGTCCCTGTACAGAAGGACTAGCAAATTGATTGCAGCAGGTGTTTTTCTTTGTGTCGCGTAGTTTTTATCTACAAGATTGTAAGGGGTTTTTCATTGAAATTGGGCAAAATATGACTTTTTTGAAAAGTTTTTAAATTGTAAGGGGTTAACCTTGGATTTTCATCAAAATTCGGCGAAATGTGGCTTTTTGGGGGAAATTTGAGTTCGCAAGGGGTTGACCTTGCAAGATTTGGCTTTTTGGGAAAGTTTCATAATTGTAAGGGGTTAACCTTGTATTTTCATTGAAATTGGGCTAAATTTGACTTTTTTTGAAAATTTCATAATTGTAAGGGGTTAACCTTGCAGTTTCATCAAAATTTGGGAAAATATGACTTTTTTGAAAAGTTTTTCAATTGTAAGGGGTTAACCTTGCATTTTCATCAAAATTCGGCAAAATATGACTTTTTGAAAAGTTTAAAAATTGTAAGGGGTTAACCTTGCATTTTCATTGAAATTGGGCATAATATGCCTTTTTTTAAATTTTCATAATTGTAAGGGGTTAACCTTGCATTTTCATCAAAATTCGGCAAAATATGACTTTTTGAAAAGTTTCAAAATTGTAAGGGGTTAACCTTGCATTTTCATTGAAATTGGGCATAATATGCCTTTTTTTAAATTTTCATAATTGTAAGGGGTTAACCTTGCATTTTCATCAAAATTCGGCAAAATATGACTTTTTGAAAAGTTTGTCATTTGTAAGGGGTTAACCTTGCATTTTCATCAAAATTTCCCAAAATATGACTTTTTTGGAAAGTTTCATAATTGTAAGGGGTTAACCTTGCATTTTCATCAAAATTCGGCAAAGTATGACTTTTTGAAAAGTTTAAAAATTGTAAGGGGTTAACCTTGCATTTTCATTGAAATTGGGCAAAATATGACTTTTTTGGAAATTTTCATTAATGTAAGGGGTTAACCTTGCATTTTCATCAAAATTCTGCAAAATGTGGCTTTTTTGGAAAGTTTCAAAATTGTAAGGGGTGTACCTTGCATCTTTGTTGAAATTGGGCAAAATTTGAACTTTTTTTGAAATTTTCATCATTGTAAGGGGTTAACCTTGCATTTTCATCAAAATTTCCCAAAATGTGGCTTTTTTGAAATTTTCATAATTGTAAGGGGTGTACCTTGCATCCTTGTTGAAATTGGGCAAAATTTGAACTTTTTTTAAATTTTCATAATTGTAAGGGGTTAACCTTGCATTTTCATCAAAATTTCCCAAAATGTGGCTTTTTTGAAATTTTCATAATTGTAAGGGGTTAACCTTGCATTTTCATTGAAATTGGGTAAAATTTGACTTCTTTTGAAATTTTCATA